TTGTGCCTTAAAAAAAATTTATACCTCCGCCCTTTCATCTCTTGGAAAGTGATGTTGAAATTTGTTAAGCCGTTCTGCTAGATGGGGAACACATCACAAACGGCATAGGTGAACTCGTAATCCGAGGGCGATCTAGCCCTTATTAGGGTGGGGTATAATTAATGTGAATGGGAAAACTGTTGAGAGTTAGTTGTTAAGATTGCTCCCGGTTAAAACAATACTGGAGTCCGATTTATATTAAATATCGATCCGCTCAGAATTTAATCTCATAATAAAATATACACTTTATTTCATGCTAGCATGTGGTAGAGATAAACATTAATATTAACTTTATGCCAAATTAGATTTTTATTTTTATTTTTTCGTGTGTAGATAATTTCAAAATAGAACACACAAATCACATTCTTATTTGTGAGCGTGAGCATTATATTATTAAATAATTTAAATTCCCATTTTATTTAATTACTTTTTCAAGATTGAGTGGATTTTTTCTAAAGCATTCAATATGTTTAAGCCTGAGCTCAGAGATATGGATATGATTATTAATATTTTTGCAGTTATCATTTTGCAGGTGACCAAAACTCTAAATATATATAAAAAAATATTTTATTATTTTCTACATAATGGGCAGCCTATGAAGCCATACCTTATCCAAACATGTGCTTAATTTTTCCCTAAATTAGACATTTTAACTTTTATATAACAGAAAAAAAAATTAAAAAAAAAATTAAAAAAAAATAATAAATAATAAATAATAAAAAAGATCCACCAAATGATGCAATAGTAGTATAGTACAAAGAACTTTAATAAGAATGGACAGTACATTAAGACAAGATTCTCTACAGTAAACCTCAAATCTATTTAATGATGATAAATTTGTGATTTAATGGTCCTAATTCACTTTGTTGGATTCTTCGTCTTTTTTAAGATAGCAAATCTCATCCATCCATCCATTTCATTTTTCTAAAATTACAACCACCTCCCTGAATTAAAGTTGAATTTACAAGAAAACCTCTCGTTTTTTAGAATTTACATCCCGACCCCTGCGGTTTGAGAAACCCCTAATCATTTGAAAATTTACAAGAAAACCCCCCATTTCATAAATTTCTTACAACAGAGTGTTAATGTAAGAAATCTACAAATTTCAAGGAGGTGGATGTAATTACGAAAAAATGAAGGGTTTTTTTCTTGTGAATTGGTGAATAGTGTGAAATTACTATTTTGTGACAATTGCTAATTTTCAAGAAACTCTTTTATGGGGATTCTAGTTTTTTCTAACCACTTGTCAATTATTGCAACCAATGTAGATCAAATTGTTCATATCATTCTTCCACACAAGTAAAGAATATGTAACCAACTACTTCAATTATTGGATTCCAACACACAAATTTATATCTTTTGTTTGTTTGTTTGTTTCCATGAACATGTCTCTTGTCTTGGCATTTATATTCATCATTTTATTTACTCCTTAATAAATGCATCAATTCAAGCATCACGGGGTACTAAAAGACAACACAAATTAAATAAGTACATTATTCTACTAATTATCTAACTCTTACTTCTTTCGTTCATAAATAGGTGCTGTTTTTTATATTCGCACAAATCTTAAGAAACTTAATAAATATATCTTGATTTTAGGAAAATATATATTGTTAGACTAAAATACCCTTATTTATTAATTAATGCAAAAAGTTAATAAGAGCAGAATTGAAAAACACGTAATTAATGCAACATTGAAATTCTAAATTGACAGATAATATGAAACACAAAAATTATTCAAATAATGACTGATATTATGAAAATGATGGAGTATATATTCACAACTATTTTTATCATTGTGTAGAGAGAGAAAAGAGTAATTTTGAATTTTGGTATCGAAACTAAAGACTAATTATTGAGATTCTTAACGTAAATTAAATTGGGAACAATGAGTGCCTAATTAGGTGATCCAAAAGACAATTAACATAATAGTAATTATGTCTAAATGAGAAATAGATTCAAACTTAAATTGGAAAATTATGGAATATATGATTCTTGAATACCACATTTGATACATACATAGATAAGTGTCATAGTCATACATGATAAACCCTTTTTTTTCCCCAACCCTTTTATGAATATTGAGTAAAAATCAAAACCCTATTTTCTTGAAAAAAAAAAAGCATATTAAACCAAATTTTAATTCAAGATAGTAATTTAGTAGCTAGTCTTGAAAGGCTTGTACACCTTGAGATCGGTAACAACTCCGGCGAAAGATCCGACACCGGCGGCAATCGATATGATCAAACAAGCCATACTAAGTATCTGCAAGCATATCCACCTTGGGCTCCACTTCGGGATCCTCATCTGCACGATATACATCTCGACCGGGAAATAAACGGTCAACGGCCAAAACCCGAACGCCCCCAAGATCCCCACGACGTCGTTGAAAAACGGCATCAGCATCGAAATAACCGTCGTGACTATCACGAAGATAGTCCTCCATACGAGGCGGAACAAATTGAGCTTCAACAACCGGTTAAATCCCGGGATCGGGATCGAGATTTCTTTAGTAATGAATTTGCTATTAGGGAAGTAATGGGCCGAGGTTTTCTCGACGAAGGCGAATAAGGGCTGGCAGTAGACTTGGTATGCACCGATGAGGTGGATGACTATCGCGGCGTTCGCGATGTCGAGAAGCCAGTACGGATTGAAGAAGCCGAATCCCGTGAGGAGGTTTCCGGGGGATAAATCCCCGAAGGCGGCGTACCCGAAGCAGCCGCAAAACATGTAGAAGATTGTGGTGACTATTACACTTAGGAGTGTGGCTTTTTTCATTGTCTTGTGTTCTGATGGTGGGGATTTTATTGTGTCCTGCATTATTAATTTTTTTTTTGATTAATTAAATAAATAAAAACTCAATCTTTATTAAAAATTAAGAAAAATAAATATTTATTATTGTACCTGAATTTCAATAAGAATAAGGGAGTAAGAATAAGCAAAAGCAATGGCGCCAAGAGCTTGGAAGCTTCTCCATATCTTTTGAGTTTCGGTTACTCTAGTTGTTCCGGTTACTGTGCCTATGCTTATTCCAGTCATACTTCCCCTTATTTTTCCATTCTCTGTAAAATTCAATAAATTACCAAATTAGTTATAAATAAAAAAAAATAAAAAAAAATATCCCTCTTAAAATACTTTAAAAAAATCAAGAATATTTAGTTAGAAAGGAAAAAAAAATGATCTTTTAAAAAAAATTATGTCACCACAATTCAATAAATTTGTAAGGGAAAAAAAAACCCTCTTGTTAAAATACTTAGAAAATCAAGAATATTAAGTTAGAATTTTGATTATATTTTAATTATGTAACAATAATTAATTTGGGAATTTAAAAAAAAAAATACCCTTCTTGTTAAAATTCTTGAAAAAATTCAAGAATCTTTAGTTAGCAAGAAAAAAAAATTGATCTTTTCTTTTAATAATGATGTAAAAAGCCCTAATGTTAAAATACTTACAAAAATCAAGAATATTTTAAAACTCTGTAACCACAAAAATTAAATTAGAAAAAAGAAAACCCTGTTGGTAAAATACTTCAAAAATTACTAAGAACAAAAAAAAGTGATTTTTTTTTTTAATTATTATTATGAAATATTTAAATATTAAATTAATAATTATTACCTGCAACTTTGGCAACACCGAGGCCTAAACCAATGGAGGAGTAAGTGAAAGACATAACAGCAGCCAACATAGAAAGCCAAGAAATCTGATCAAAATCTGGTATTTGTGAAAATACTATTTCCACTACCCCAAATGCTATCATGTACGGATTGCTCGATACTCTGCACGGGCTGTTGTCTCCTTTTGAGTGGAAGCAATTTGACCTCTCTATTGCCCTGTTTTTTTTTTCAATTAATAATTAATAATAGTAATTAAAAAAATAATAATAAAAAACTCGAACTCGAACTCAGAACTCACATCAAGCTTATTGATGCAGCTATGGTGTAACCAATTGCAACTCCGAACAGATTCATGTACTGAATTGCCCCGCACACTTTCACCTGGAAACCACCTGAAAAAATAATTAAATTAGGGTCAAGGGTAAAATCGGTATTTCACTCATTTTATTACAATGAAAGAAAAATCAAGAAAGCATACCTAAGTTGGCTCTAACAGCATCCATGTAAGTGTAGTTTCTCTTGCCGGTGTCGGGGTCGCCGGTCCGGTAACACGTGGCAAGCAGAGAGGAAGTGTAGTAAGTGACGAAAGAGAACAAGAACAGCATAGTTGGCCCGGCTACCCAGCCGAGCTGAGCCGTCGCCCAAGCCAATGATAAAACTCCCGAGCCGATTACAGCTGTTATAATATGTGCACTTGCAGTCCACACAGTTCCTACCAAAATAATAAAAAAAATAAAAAATAAAAATCAAAACTAATTTAAATTAAAATCTCTCAAATTTCTAACAAATTTTAGAAAAAAAAAATATTATTATTACCAGTTCTTTTGAGCCGGCCGTCGTCGTCGTAGCATTTGGAGCCGCCGGTCTGAGAAGGCATATTGACTGAAACATCGAAAACTTGGTGCCGAGTTCCAGCTGCACTCTCACTCATCTTTTTTTTTTTTAATTTTTAAAAAATTCAGACAAAAATCCGAGAATTAGAGATAGTACAGTACAGAAATCTATGCAATAAGTGTTGAATGAATGCTGGCTGGGAAAAAGAGAAAAAAAAACAAGTTGCAGAAAAAGCGCACGTAGAAATCACGCTTTTCAAGAATTTGTTGCAAATAATTAAATCCGAATGGATTTTTTTCTTTCTTCTTTGTAATAAATATGAATTTGCAGTTGCAGATGAATGTGGGCAGTAGGGGGTATATATAGGAAGAGAAAGTGTATTTAAAAAATAATAATTAAAATGGTAGGCTACAAAACGACACCAAAAAGACGCGTTTTGTCAACGTTTAATTTTTTTTGTTACCCCACACCGCCTAAATATTACTCCCTCCGTTCCCTATTAAGTGTCGTTTTTGGCTTTGTACAAGGATTAAGAAGCTCAATAAATATGTCTTGATTTTAGGTAAAATATATTAGAAAGACTAAAATAACCTTGATTATTTAATGATGTGATAAGAGAGAGTTAATACTTATAGTTGATTTAATAAGGTTAAAACAGGAAAAAATGCATTTAATGCAGTATTGAAAATATAAAGTGACAGATAATATGGAACAAAAATATTTTTAAAAAGAGATAGTTATTATGGAGCAGATGGAGTATTTATTTGACTTCAATTTGATACGTAAAAACATCGCAATTTCTATTTTAAACAATTTCTAAAGAAATTTCAAAAAATAGTACTATAGTATTGAAATAAAATATTTAAAGCACCTAATAGTTACATGAAACGTAGTCTTGCACGTGTCAAATTCACTTAATTGGCAAATGCAAGATTCTTGGAATCCAAGAGTAAAACCCATAGAAAATGAGCAAAATTGCAATTTTTATTTTTTATTTTGAAAAAAATGAATATATATAATTGAAAAAATAAAATGAGTTGGGACAGTTCTAAATTCTAATAAATGGGCTATGGCCTATATATGCATACAAAACTATAGTTGTATAAAAGTTGTCGGTTTTAGGACAACTCATTGAAATTTCAGAACAAACAATATTAATTAATAATTAATTAATGCAAGAAGAAAGAAACAATAACAAGAATTATAAAGGGTTTGTTTTGCTTACTGTCATTTTAGTGAACTTGTTGCTCTCTGAATAAACAAAAATGGGTTTTTGTATTGTAATTGCCACTCTTTGATGAACTTGTAGCTATATATACATGTATATATATATAGATATATATAATGTTGAGAAAAGTGGGGTGAAAAGATAAATATTAAATAAATGAGGGGTGTCTTTTATTGAGAACCTTTGAATAGTAATAATTTGCACGCAACGGCTTCTCCGCCATCCCTTTTGATCAACAAATAAACGAATATGGTTCTTCTTGTATTTTATATATATTATTGCATTAATTAATTAATTAATTAATTATAGGAAAATAATTTGGGAGATATATCTATCATATTCATTGTTATTATTGTCAAACATTTTATTTATTGTGGGCTTAGAATATTGGTCCGAAAATGGTGATGCTTTTAATTTCTTTAGCTAAGTAATTGTCTTTCTTGAACATTTATTATTCTATGTGTCTTCTTGCTAGGTTTCCAAAATCCGAGGAAAGAATGGTTACTTATTACTCTTAAGGACAAATTACGGCCACCCCTGAGTTATGGTTAAATTACGAAAATCTGCCTCATGTTTGGATAATTACAGCTACGTACTCATCTATGTATAATCTTACAAACATACTCCTCCATAGGTAAATTTAGGGATGTTAAATCGGTAAAAGCGAACCGAAATTTCAGTACGCCTACATTTTATACTGTTTACCGAACTGAATATACGATTTGGTTCGGTAAATAACCGAATTACATAAATTTTATGTAAAAATTTTAAAAGGATGGGGTGGATGTAATTACCTAAACAAGATGGGTTTTCTCATAATTTGGTCGTACCTCTAGGGGGTTGCCGTAATTAATTTGCCTTACTTTTAAATATTGATCAACACGTATCTTTTATTGTTACATACTCGTATAATGCAAACCATACGAGATTGTAAACCACGTTAGACTAACTATATGCAATAAGCTCGATCTATCGACCGTTGATAACATGATTCGAGTCCGAGTCAGTTGACATATGCTCATTTGTTCCAACCGTTAGATCATCATCTCATGCGGGACAATAATTTTAATTAACTTTTTTTCTAAAAAATAATATATATCATGTCGATGAAAGAGCATCAACTTTCTTAGTATAAATAATTACATCAAAGTACATTGGGTGCATGTGTGAAAAATGAAAAAAATACATTTGAAAGTGATAAGCACCTTTTTCTTACAGCCTCAAGTCTTGGAAATTAAATAAATAAAAAAAAAAAAAAAACATTTTTAAAACGATCAACTTAGTACCACTAAGCCTTAATGTTTGACCAATCCACTAATAACTTAAGATTCTAAAAGTAATTATTAGGAATTAATAATTGGTAGATATAAGTTAGTGAAAAAAATGCCATTAATTAATTAATTAATGAATTAACTATATTCCCCCTACTTGTTAGTAGTATTATTTAAGATCAAGACAGATTTGATGGTGAATTACATGATTAAGGCTGACAAGAAAGTTATTCCTAAAACAATATTCCTATGTACTATAAATTTAATTATTTACACGATCCGGTCTAAAGTATAATAAAATATTATTTTATTCTCTAAAATATAATAATAGGCAGTCACTAATTCTCAAGCAGACAAAATAAAATAATAATAATAAAATTAAAATAGTATTATCCAAGAAGTATGATTTATCTGCATGCAAAATAAGTTTGGTTAGGCTTGTATCCATATCTTGCATGATGGGTTGGCAGCCGGAAATCAGATTTTACAGAAAAAAAAATAGTTTTATTTTATTTAATTGAAATTTTGAGTATTATTTAATTACATATTTAGGAATAAATAAATAAAAAAGAAGATAAATATTTTTAAATAAAGAAATAAAAACGAAATAAATTAATTATAGGTGTTATCAATTTTTGAAAGAATTTTCTCTACTTGATAACTAAGACACAATAATTGATCAAGCTTTTGGATGTCATTATAATGAAAAGGACTAAATGGTCAATTATCGAATTTAATTTGAAGTATATATTCTTAACTATTTGAAGAAAAAATGCAAGTTGATCTCTCTTATCTTGAGTTGGTGATTAGAACAAAGAATTATTCCTTGGTGACAATTTTTATAAATGTTTTACTTACATCTTTATAATGAATTTTATGTTTTAATTTGCTTCTAAAGTATGTATACAAGTGAAGCACTTGTCCAATATAATTAAATTAGAAAAATAAATTATATCTTTTTATTTTTTATTTATTAATAAAAGAAGGGATTATGTTATTTTATCAATTTCTTTTTTAGTCAAGTTTCTCCATCTCTTGCATATAGGGGTGGAAATCGCCAAATCGGTTCAAAATTCCCGACTAAGGCCGATTTCGATCCGAAAAAATCCGAATTTGGATCCCTTTTTCACATTCCAACTTCCGATTTTTTCGAAGTCGTTTGGAACAGAATTGGAATTGTATATAAAATTATTGAAAACTCCGATTTTAGTTCCGAATATTTTGATTGTTTTTCTATATATATATATAAAATATTTAATTTATTTCTAATATAATTTTATGATATATTTTGTAATTCCATAATATTAAGTAAACTAAACCCTAGAAAAAAATAGTTGTATCAAAAACTCTTTTTTGCATTTTTTTTAAGAAACTCTGGGTTGCGTTGTATTGTTCCCATCATATCGATTGTTTTATTCATTTTGTTGAACTTTCTTTTGAATTTTATTATATTTTTGGGAAAAAAAAACTGATTTAAAAAAAAAATCCCATTATAACGAATTTGGAATGGAAAATTATAAATTAAAGTAATTTTTAAATTTTCTGAAATTTCACTAATTACGAGGCATTATGGAATTATAACGGATTTTTTGAATTAATTCCAATTTATTTGGAATGGGAATTGGAACTTGTTTTCACTTCCGAAAAAATGTATTTTTTTCGAAACAATACTATCTCTGATCCGTTCCGTCCGATTTCTACTCCTACGTGTACATGACAAACTTAAATATGCTTTAGCAAAATTATATTCCTCTTGATTTACATTTAATTCAAGGAAGAACATTATTTTTAGTTCCATGCTAAAAGTTGAAAAGAACATTGATAAATTCTATTAAGATATGGTATTCGATTAAGAAAGAAATATGGAGATCAAAGCAACACATGAAGTGGATAATATAATAGTTTAATTTGTATTTTGCTTCTAAAACATTGATAATAAATATAATATTATTTCAATTATTTAAAAATATTAAATTGTTACAAGGAGGATAATTGAAAAGAGCACTTATAATAAACCATGATGCCTACAATGGAATTAGAAACCATATCAATTGGACCATATTCAGTCAAGTAACTATCACTTCAATAAATAAATAATAATAATAATAATAAAATAAATAAATAAAATCAAAAGTTTAGCAAAAAGTATTAGGTAGATTTTCTTCTTTGTTTCCCACACGCTGTTTTTCAATACTTAAAAAGCCTCATAACCAAAATTATATATATAATAATTTCTTTTTGCAGTTGAAATTTTGTGACACTTTTTTGTATACAAAAATTGAATTGGGTGAGATGCCGCGAATAGTCGCTGAATTTGACGTTGAAATACTTTGCTAATTAATTAATATTAAAAGCTTGTGACAAGATATTTTCAAGTCATTTCAATTGGAAGAAAAGAAAAAAAGAATTAATATTGGTTTTTATTTGTTCAAAATTCTATATTCATCAAATTTCCATGAATATCAATATTTAAATTTTAAAAAAAATCACTGTCAATAGTTGCTAGACCGAGTTTGTCACACATAATTAGTGATTTTCATTTCTCGTTTGATTTGTAAACTATTATACGAGAGATGTAGATATTCTCAGTACTGCACCCATATAAATTGCTGCGGATTCGTTCACTATCGAAGAAAAAAGGGTCAGATAATATGTGCCCGTTCGAGTTCTTAAAATGTCACATTCTAAAAGAGCAAAAAATGCAATAATTTTCAACAGGGCACTCAACTAACCAAGGGGGCAATTATATTGAAATATGTGATAAGGCAATTTATTTTGTTCTATCTTCAATGTGAATGCATCAACATTTTCTTTTGACAATCATTTGCATATGAAAAAAATATTTAGTTCATTTGGCAATTAATTAAACTAAGAGACTGTACAATTAAACATATATGATTTTATGTAGAGTAATAGTTGTATTTAAATTTTAGGGTAAATTCCAATTTACTCCCTTGTACTCTGCCCAAGAACCACTTTACCCTTCTTAATTTCATCGATTTACCCCCTTGTACTTGTACAATTTCCCAATACAATCCTCTTCGTCAACTTTTTTTGATTTTGACTCTGACGCCATTTGGTCAAGAGTCAAAATATTGACGTAAATATTGAATTTTTTCAATTTTGATTCTCGAGATTAGAAAAGAGAAAGTTTCACACATTCATATATTTTTTTTTCTTTGCACTGGGTGGAATCGATCAATTTTTGGGTCTTGATTTTTACTAAGTTAGGGGTTCAATTTGGGGATATCTTGAAAGTGGAAGTGGTAGGAGAAGAAGAAATGATAATATTGACGGAGGAGAAACGACGCGTTATAGGCAGTGGCAATTTTGTAATTTACAGAGTTGACCAAACGGCGTCAGAGTCAAATTATCAAAAGTTGAAGGAAAGGGCTGTATTGGGAAATTGTATAAGTACAAGGGGGTAAATCGATAAAACTGAAAGTACAATGGGGTAAAGTGATTCTCAGGCAAAGTACGAGAGGGTAAAGTGGAATTTACCCTAAATTTTATCCTTTGAAATGTATTAGAGGATAACAATATATAGAATATAGGGCAAATTACGTCGGCCGCCCCATACATTAGAGTCAAATTACGAAAAAAAATTGTTCATGTTTGCATAATTACAATCACTCATCAACTATATATTGTCTTAAACATCAATCCTTACGTTATCAAATTTACGTATTAAAAGAATGATTTTTTTTTAAGAAAAATACATAGCTGAGGGGTATTTTCGTAATTAACGTTATTATTTGTGTGTGTTAAGTTTTTGATTAATTCAATTAGTGAACTCACAATGTTTGTGAACAAGTCAAATAGCATGAATATATATTTGTCAAATGTCAAGAGCACGAGAAAGCAAGCACAAATTTTATTTAAATTTTTTTTTTTAATAAATAAAAGCAATCACAAATTACTAGATTAAAAAAAAGCCAGCACGGCTTATAAGCTGTCACTTACAGAGATTAGTGGTGCAATAATAGAGATTAGAGATATTTATCTCTCTAACCTCGAAATTTAATTTCCCATAATTAGACAAGAAAAAGATTAATTATGTTTTATTCGTATTGTCACGGGCCATGATTTCTGTAATGATATTTTAATCCTTAAGTTATTTAATTAAGGAATTTTTGTCTATAGTTGTTGTATTTACCTGAAATTAATTGATTCACTTAAAGAAGACAACCGAAGAATTCAATTAATGCGTGTACATCAATAATTTCATTTGATTGGACGAAAAATAAAGACTTTTTTGAGAGGCCCAGTTGACTAAATGCATCAAAAAAGTGCATTTATGCTTACGTCACGTTGAATTTTGGTTGATGTAGACAAAAGTTTTGACTTTTATTAAATCAAAGGTTGTTTACCTTAATGACTATATTTAATCAGTTTTTAATGTTGTCCTAATGAATCAAAAAGCTTCTTGAAGTTCTATGATTTTCAAAACCTGCCGCGAAGAAAATCGTGATTACGTATAATTCAAGTTCGTATTACTTATTAATTAAATAAATGGATGAAAACAAATTCAACTTGTTTTGTTGCGATTGTACGTGTTAAGTTTCGATACATTAATAATTAAAAATAAGGTGAGGTATTTATTTTTAATATTGTCCTATTATTAGACATAAGTACTTATGATAACCCTTTGATTGAATTTGTTCAAATGATATATATATACCTTCAATCTTTGATTAGGATTTAGGCCCGGAGTCAAATCAAATTACTCAAAGTTCGATTTAGTTGAAAGTTAGTTTAAAGCTTAATGATAAATTTTGATGACTATTCGTTATTCATGAGTAATAGGAGTTGTTTGCGTGGAAGAAGGCGTGAATCTGAGTTCAAGAAGTTGTGCATGAGCTGACAACTAAATTAGAGGCTGAATAACTAATTAGATGATGATTATAGCTCGGCTGACTTTAGTTAGTAAGAGAGAACACATACAACACTCAATTTAATAACGCAGTAGACGAAACTTTGATTCGTGTTCAGTTCAGTATAAAACTCGTTCGACTCAATTGCATATCGAATGTATCGAAAATTAATTACATCCAATATAGGATTATAATTAAATCTAAATATTGGGCAAAAAAAAAATAAAAAAACATCAACATTAATATCTAGGGGGTTACATCTATACTACTTGATTTTGGCCATTACCAAACCTACAAGTTTTAAGTTTGCAGCAGGGGCAAAAAAGTCCAAAATATTCCGTCCACATTAAACGGTCAGAAAGCAGTCAACGATTAAAACGTGGGCCAATTAGCTAGTAAAGTGGGCCCCACTACAAAGACTATAAATTCCGGAGACAAGTCAACTCTGGCTGTCTGTGAAAGGAAACAAACGGGGAGAAAAAAAAGGAATTATTGACCCGGGTCCACTGTTCCGCGTCGCATCAAATCATTCCCCAACAAATGTTTTCTTGCAACTTGACCAGAGGAAAAAACGGAAAGCAGGAGATTTTTTTTGCCGCTACAGTGGTGCTGGCTCACTGCACCACTGACAGAGAATCGTTGACTATTTGGTGTTGACTCCTGTCTTCTTCATCGGACAGTGGTAGTTTCTTTTAGGTGGCGTGGGAAATTGACGGTACGGTCATCGGTGGTGGGACTCGGTTTTCACGTGGCGGAGACTCGGTGTTGACTCGGTGGTGGTGGGCACGGGCGCGCCGCGGCGGTCGCGATCTGGCTGTGGTGGGCAGATACGCCGCCGTGGGCTTACGATTTTGGGCCCGAATATAAAAACATCTCAAACGTGCTTATAATTGCTATAGTCGGGCCAATTATAAATATCTGCTCGGGCCCAACTCTTGAAAAAGTGTTGATTTAATTTGAAACAATCCATTCAAGAAAAATGATTTTGGGCCCGAATATAAAAACATTCCAAACGGGCTTATATTTGCTATAGCCGGCCCGATTATAAATATTTACTCAGACTATTGCCCAACTCTAGAAAAAAGTGTTCATTTAATTTCAAATTATCCATTCTATAGTTGAAGGGGAATGCGTATTTAACCCTAAATATTATTCCCTCATTCACTTAATAGTTATTTCCTTAATAGTTGTCACTTTTGTTAGTTGCACACATATTAAGAAACTCAATAAATATGCATAGATAATAAAAAAAAGTATAGCAAATCACTAAAATGTCTATGCCATTAATTATATTTCAATTAATTATGAGTAAGAAGGGCAACATTGAAAGATTGCAATTAATTTTTCATTGGAATAGTAAAATGACAAATAATTTGAAATATGAAAAAATGAAAAAAGTAACAAATAATAAGAGAATGAGGGAGTAATATTTAGATAACAATTTGTTACTTTAATGCTAAAAATCATAAAAAGAAACAAAAAATTCAAATATTAATTAAGTTTTTAAATATTTTATATATTTCTTTTGATAATTCGGTAATTAACGAACCGAACGGTAAATTTCGATTCGGTAAACAGTAACGAAATTTCTCCATACCGAATTTTTGTAAACATAAACTTCCATGCAATATTTGTAAAATATCAAATTTTGGTATAAATTTGTGGTTTATTTTGTATATATTTATTTTCTTACAAATATATTTGTTTTATTACAAACCACCGAATTAAAATCCTTGACGATAAAACATATCCAGAATGGATAACCATTACACTCAATTTCAGTTCAGTTCAGTTCAAGAAATCATCAATAAAATGAAAACACCAAATCGACAGTCTTTTTCTTGCAACCTTATATTACTCAATTTCCTACTGTCATCACTTCCACTCATCCAGTCCACCGCCGGCAGCGGCGGCGCCACCAGCGGCGGCGCCACCAGCATCGCGTTTGCCACCCTGGGAAGATCAAGCTACGGTTTCGACATCTACGCTCTCCCTACTACTACTACCACCATCGCCTCACCGGAAGAAATCCGTCTGACCGATGGAAATTCCGTCAATTACAACGGCTATTTCCCGTCGTCGTCGTCTCTCTCCGTTTTCCCGCTCCTACCCGATCAACCCGACCCGACGACCCACTTCATTTACGTCACCGAACGAAATGGGTCGTCGCAAATCTACCTCGATGCTTTATACGGCACCCTTCCTCTCAAAACAGGATCAAGATCCATGCTTGAATCATTTCCATCTAAATCAAACCAACTGCAGATTCGTTTAGTGGGTGGCGAGCAGGAAAACGGGCGGGTTTCGATGAAGGACAGACCGAGTTTAGTGGGTCGGAGCTTGATTTACGTTTCCACACACGAAGACCCGGGTGAGCCACGGGCGAGTTGGGCTGCTGTTTTCTCGACTGAGTTAGCGACCGGGTTAACACGGAGGCTGACGCCGAGTGGGGTGGCGGATTTCAGCCCCGCCGTGTCTCCGTCGGGAATCTGGACGGCGGTAGCCTCGTACGGGGAAAAGGGTTGGGATGGGGATGTTGAAGAACTGGGTACGGATATTTATGTGTTCTTGACCCGAGACGGTTCGAACCGGGTCAAAGTAATCGAGCACGGCGGTTGGCCGAGCTGGGTCGATGATTCTACTCTGTATTTCCACCGTAGATGTGAAGATGGGTGGTGGAGTATCTTCAGGGCATCGTTTAATAATATCGGAGAGGGTGAACTCGGTTCCGACTCGGTTGTGACTCAGAGAGTCACACCACCGGGTCTACACGCGTTCACTCCAGCAGCTTCTAATGCCAACAAGAGCTTTATAGCTGTAGCCACGAGAAGACCCGATTCGGACTTTCGCCACGTAGAGCTATACGACGTCGACTCGAAAAACTTTGTCGAATTGACCCGACCCATCGCACCAAATACCCACCATTTCAACCCGTTTATGTCGCCGGACTCTAATTTGATCGGGTACCACAAGTGTCGGGGTGGTGGCGGTGGTGGGGAGAGTAATGATTTACTACTCGAGAAAGTCCGAAGCCCATTGCCGAATGTTTCCTTATTCCGAGTCGACGGGTCGTTCCCTTCGTACTCGCCCGACGGCGAGCGGATCGCTTATGTGAAATTTCCGGGTCTCTACGTGATGAATAGTAACGGGTCGGATATCCGGGTCGTTTCCACCCGAACCGCCTTTTCAACTGCATGGGATTGGAAAAGAAAAGGAGTGGTGTACACAAGCGTGGGGCCCACATTCGCTAGCGAGAGCACGAAAGTTGACATCGTATCAATCAACGTGGACGACGAAGACCTAAGCCACAAAAAGCTAACCCTAGGAGGCGAAAATAACGCATTCCCCTCGCCCTCGCCCGACGGAAAACGGGTCGTCTTCAGATCGGGTCGAACGGGTCACAAAAACTTGTACATAATGGACGCGTTGAACGGAGAAAAAGACGGGCTTTATCAGTTGACCGAGGGTCCTTGGTCAGATACAATGCCTAATTGGTCGCCCAATGGCGAGTGGATTGCGTTTGCATCGGATCGAGAGAATCCGGGTTCGGGCGGGTTCGAATTGTTCAAGATCCACCCAAATGGAACGGGGCTCCAAAAGGTGATCCAAAGCGGGTCGGGCGGGCGGGTCAACCACCCGTGGTTTAGTCCGGATGGGAAACACATTGTATTGACCTCCGATTATGCTGGAGTCTCTGCTGAACCAATTTCGAATCCGCACCATTTTCAGCCCTACGGTGATATATTCGTGATAAAATCGGACGGGTCGTGGATCCGAAGACTGACCCACAACTCTTACGAAGACGGGACCCCAACTTGGATCCCCAAATCAATGAAACCGGGTAATGTCGAATGGCCTAATGGTGGATTGAAGTGTTCGTTCGATGATTGCCATTGGCTAAATATTAGCCCTAATCAAGAATCATCGACATCATCTATAAGGCAGTGTGGCTCAAAATCTTGATTGTATAGAAAATTACTCTTATGTTTATCAATGCAATAAAAAGCTCCCCCTTTGTTCATTTTCATTCTCAATTTCGATTTTTCGTTTTTCATTTCAATTACCGGTTTGTTAGACCCGAAGTGAAAAAATAAGTAGAGTGAAAGAAAAATGAGAACAAAGAAGCTATACATGAAGTGATTATTGTCAGGTCTAAAAAAAGAAACTGCATCGTACAAGATCCTAAAATTGGCTCAAATGTTAAACGAAAAGCAGCATACAACAAATGTAAGTAGCTTTTCCCTCTCTCTCGCACGCCTAGGGTTTGGCATGGATCCTCTATTACGAATAAAGCAATCAAGAAATGCTACTACTTTATTCGTTAGATCCAACGGCTACAATCAGCAGATCGAAAGCCCATCCAACGGAGCATTGGAACATGGTTGCTAGAGACTTAGCTGCTTACGTTGTAGAAGTATTCTGCAGGTATGGATTGTGGGCAGTACTTCTTTGCAACAAATTTGTACTGTCACACAAATAAACAAAATGTTAGCCCATTTAAATATTTGAAAGACAGACGGTAAATTCGTAATTTTCGTAATAATTAACGATAAGGGCTCTCTCTCTCTCTCTCTCACCTTGTGTTGACTATATTTCTCCCTGACTGCAGGCAGATTCGAACTTTGACTGTTGCAGCAAAGCCCGTGCAATGCTACAACACAGTCCCGTAAATCGTAAGGCTGGTAAAGGGTGTAATGTCTCAATGTAGAGTCCTGCATTATCAATGTACACAATAATCATAAGAAAAAAAGAATCATGTTTGGAATATATCTAATCGATATTTTCGATAATCAAATCATACCCAAGGTCTGTTTGAAGGGGCAAGAATGAATTTCGCCAAGAAAATCGACGAAGCTGCTATCAGCGACGGGGCAAAACAGAGCATATTGTACTCTAAAAGAGATAGCTCCGCTATGTAGTTGGCCAAGCACTCCAATTGCAATAAAGGAGCCTCGTTAGCACCTTGTGCAACACGAACGAATCGCCTACAAGACAAAATTTCAAATACATTAACAAACTTACTCAAGAAACAACGCTCGCAAACCATACAACATGTATTAAATTGATCACCTCAAGAAACATTTAGCTGTAGGTGCTGTCATTTCGAATTTCAGGTAATTCAAAACAGTAGATTCCATTTCAAGAACTTCATCCTTGAAGTACGTGTTATCCGTTATGTAGCAGAACTCTTCCACTTGAGGTGCACAAATCTCTTCATATTTTCTGCAAAGTTACATAAACAAGTGAGATCATATATGGAGAGTAGAGAGAATACGACAATCAACGAAAATAAAAGAACCAAATATCTTACGATGCAATCATCATGCAAGCAACACCGAGCAATTGCAACCTCTGCCTATCCATCACGTTTCCAGAAAGATAACGATCTAAGTAGTTAACAGTCAGATACAATGTGTCTGGAACAAGTCTGTATTCCTCTGATACCTGTCGTTTACAAATTTGTCGTCAGGCATAAAACTAAAGTTATGTTTTAGTCGAGACAAGACGAAAGATAAACGTTACCTCAACAAGCCAATCAACGAGAATGGCTCTCATGCTTGCATTGATGTCTTTTTGGACCCTTTCCATGAAGTTAGTAGCCGGCCTTTTCTTTGCCTAAAAACAAATGGATAAAAGAAATCAGTGAACAATAATATACGAATAGTTAAAACCACAACAAAAAATGTATATGCTTTAATTACGTAAAAAACAAAAAAAAAATTCAAACCTCAGAATCTCTCAAGTGCTTGTAAATATCGCAAGCAATGGTGGCACATAACTGCGGATCGTCTAGATTCTCATCAACATCAACAATCTTGACATCCGAATCGATTGCTGCAAGTAAGTCTCGCTTGCATACATCAACTGCAAGTACATAAATACGGTTAATGGTCATTCATTCATGTGTCAGAGATATCAAAAAACAAACTTAGTAATCTTCAGACGATAATAAGAAAGGTACAAAACCTGAAATATCCATGTTGTCCGAAATGCAAAGCATGTCTGATGCCTTTCGTTCAATGTAGTCAACTGCAACAATTTCGGAATTATCCATATATTCAATATCCGGGCTCTTCAAGGAATCACAAGTGGACATTGATTCGTCCATGGAAACAGAGTACGAATCAGATTTATCGGGCGAAACATTAACGGGTGGTGGAGCAATTGCTCTACTTGGAGCAACGGTGCTCTGCTTCGAAGAGACGATTGGAGGCAGAGTAGGTCCCGAAAAGCTTGCATTTGTGGAGGTTGAAGATCCCTTTTTAATGCTCACGATCTTCGTCGAACACGGTACCTACAGAATTGAAGTTTAGTCCAACTAATTACATCTAACCAAAGACAACAACACAAATCATAGTCATGATTAAATGCATAAGCAAATACATATATGCAGATATCATATTTTTAAATTCAGGGACTGATTTTGCAAAAAAGCCCTATTCGGATTGAGAAAAATCAAACTGCTCTTTACACGAAAATAAAACCCTCGAAAAGGCTAATCATCTCGTCGAAGAAAACTTCAATCGGAGAGTCGGTTTCCCCATAGAAAAATAAAAACAATGTACAAACATAAAAATCATATAACAGAATCCAGAAACCAAATTAATTCACAGGGGGTTTAAAACGAAATAAAAAAATCACATTTTCAAAATCCCATAACCACACGTACCACTTGAAAGTACAAACAAGCAGAAGAAATCAAAATGCAGGTTCATGTCAAAAAACAAATTCAGAATTCGTCACTAAAAAAAAATCACTTCAAACCCCTGATTCTGAATTAGGGAAATCCGAAAACCAAGAAGTAAGTTGACACGTACAATTTTGGATGATTCGGGCAAATGCGCCCGACCCGGATTAAGCGAACCGGAGGCATGCCTCTGGTTAGTGATATTAGAAAGCGCCGGCCGCTTCTTCGCCGCCGAGGCGGCGGAGGACGCCACCTTCCCAAGATTCTCCGACGCGGCGGAGGACGCGTGGCGCTTCGCCAAAGACGACGTCGTCGACCTCCTCGCCCCTGCAGCACTCGCCATCGACACTCAAACAATGGCAAGAGAATCAATCGAAAAAATTCGAACAGAGAAAATCAGGAATTAATTTGGGAATTACTATCGGAAAAATCAGGGGGGGTTTTAATGGTTGCTTTTGAAGCGGGCAAAAAGGGGCGATTTTGAATTTGTGAGATGATCTGGGCCGTTGGATCAGACTCGGGTATTCGTTAGGAGCGGCCAGAAGTGGGGCCCACAGGAGCTTGTCTTTTGAATTGCTGTTGCTGTAACATGACGGGTCGGTCTGTCACAGACTAATGAATGGCTGGATAGATGAGATATGATTGGTCGTTACGGTGACGGGGCTGTGGGTTTAGAAGGAAGGTGAATTTGAATTCGAATTTGAAGCGGATCGCATTGGGAAAGCAGTTTTCTTCACTTTGTTTCAAGCCAGGCTCGTCAATTGGCATGTGGCCAAAAGAAATAACAGTGTCAAAAATTGTGACAATTTGAAGTTAATTAATTAATTTATTAATTTAGAAATTTTGATTGACGAATTTTTTTAATTTCAAAATTTTCAATTTCGAATTCAACGATTTATTTGTTTAATGTAGATAAAGATTTTTTTTCATTGCCTAATTTATGTGGGTAATTGTGTAACTTATTTTCATTGATTACTCTTATTGTTTTTGGATTTGAGATCTTCTATACTTTATGAAATATTTAATTGATTGAGTAATTGACAAATCAAAATTCAAATGTTGTCAATATATATATATATATTTAAATATAAAAACACCCATGTACTATGGATTTTGTATCGAATACCCCCTTTACTTTACATAAATACAAAAAAAAACTTATCGTGACACTTTTTTCATAATTACTTTGTCAGACGTTTGAAACAGCTGTTGGGAAGTAGCCGTTGATTTAGTTGGACAAAAATACCCCTGCTAGAGCCTATAAATATATTATTTGAGTTATTTCCCATTTTATTTTTCGCATTTTATTCGATCTTACTTAAGAAGTTTTACTATTTTTTTCTCAAAAACATCTAATTGATTAGATTCCTTTAATTTTCTGATTAAAACCTTTTTTTTTTTTTTGTAATTTTGAATTTCTTTGTTTTTTCTTCGATGTCTTTCAATAGTTTAAAATTTTCAACTAGCAAATATCTTCATTTGCTCCTATGTATAAGCATGATTTACCTTTTAGTTCTTAGACAAATTTGTTATAATTGTATTTTTCCCAATCACTTTTCATCTCTATACATTATGTTCGATTTGGGTTGAAGGATGCCCCTTACCTTAAAGGCATCCTCAGCTTGCAACATGTCAATGTGTTGCTACGACGGCAACAACGTACAAATAGTCTTCATGTTGTATTATTTTTATTGGGTGGATTAAACGGGAAAACAAGGGTAGGTTTACTGCACGAGAGTATGTGATTTTGATTGGAGTTCCCGCCAAGGAGGGAGCCGCAGGGCGACTGAGTCTTGAACCTGCAAATATAAGCACATGTAAACTAAGTCGAAAGTTTATCGGGCGAAAATCCTTACAAAGATAAGCACATGTAAACTAAGCTGAGAGTTTATCCAGCGAAGCTCAAGTCAGGTGCATGAACCTAAAGTTGATTTGAGAGCACGAGAGAATTAAAAGATTTGATATAACTTATTTATACTTAATTAATAGTAGACTCCTAATTAGAGTATAAATTTAATTAAACTTAGATTAAAACTCTAATTAAATATTTAATCAATATGATTTGCTTGAACCCTTAATTCAGTGAACTTGTTCTTTTGGACTTCAATTTCCTATATAATGTAGTAAAATAAATAGTGGATCCATTAAATATCCACTTAGGTGCATCAAGTTTATTGTTGATAATAAATTTTATATTATGACAATTAAATTTATATAATGTTTTTCTAAATAAGTTTATATTATTAAATTTGTATAAATATTGATGTTGTTATCAATTTCTCACTCTATTCTCCGTTTGCTACATGCCAAAGTTGAAGCTTCATTTCCTACTCCAATTTTTGGACTGCCTACAAGACTCGAACCGTCCACGTGGCATTTTTATAAGTTCAATTTCTTCCAATTATTAATTATAATTATATATATATATATTAATTAGTTTGTTTGAAAACTTACAATAATATCTCAATCCCCCACCCTCCACGCCTTTAATCAAGCCAGGACTCGTCTCATTTATTCAAACAAGAAACTCTATTAATAGAACACTAAAATATATTTTTTCACACAAAATACCTTCCATTGTGTGTGTTTAAATAAAGAAAAATATTTTGGTTTATTTAATAAAAACATCTAATAATAAAACATGGAGAGAGATGAATATTATTCATTCAAGAAGGCAGGTGCTATTCCATTCAAGTGGGAGATCCGACCCGGTGTTCCCAAGATCCAAGACCCGCAACTCCAGTTCGAATTCGAATTCGAATTCCCAAAGCATCAAAATCATGAAACGAAGAAAACTCCGTTTCGACCGAAACTCAAACCCCCACCAAACGGGTTATATTTCCATCCCCATTCGGAGCTCCAAACCCTATTCTCTTCCTCTAATCGGGTGGGGTCACCGGTTCTTGCCCGACCCGAAGTGGTTTCCTCGTCGGGGTGCACTCCTTTGAAGAAGCGACAAAATGCGAAGAAGAGAACCGGCGAACCAAGATCCCGATCCCAACCCGAATACTATTCGGATCACGACACCTCATCAAGGTGGTCCGTTTCGAGTAGAAATTCTATCTCGCCATTGTCTTCTCCCTTTGCTTCCTACCGATCATCTCCCCGGCCCGCTACCGACTCGGATTGGGCGGCCTTCGGTTTATTTTAGAATTTTATTTGTTTTAGCATAATGTCATATCAAATAATTAATCTCCAAACAAACTACTAGATAAATTAATCTTATGAACATTATTTATTGCATTTTTCCTCATAACAAGTGATCAGTATATGTAATTAAGTATATATATATTTTCTTTGTATCCAAGTGTACTATAGTCCAGTTAATTTGAATATATACAGTTATATAAATATAGATATAGTATTAGATATATATCAAAAAGAGCCAACTGCATCCAAAGGTCATACTTAGAAGGATATATAGCCTCACCTCTTCATTAGGTCAACTATCAAGAGATTCAGTTGACTTCAACGGTGGTGGTGTAACGGTGTAGCAGAGTGCGACGTTTAACTATTCGAGTTCGATTTTACATATCAATACTTTTTAGGACATATCTTCTCTACTTTTTTTTTTCTTTTAAATAGTACTTGTACTATCTACCATTAATAAACTCCCAGTTAATATAAATTAAAGGATTAATCATTCCTATTAAATCAAAAGAATATAATTTCACCCAGTCGTGACAACATCATTTCATGTATGTTTTTTTTAATATATTTATTTATTTATTTTTGTGAATTTATATAATTATAGTAGACAAATAAAGAAATTAAACTTGCAAGATATCAAAGTTTGACATTTTGAGTTGCTGACTCATTTGTGATAGTTGATTGGTTTGCTAATCAAATGTTTAATAATAAAGTCTTCCTCGTTTACCAATTCATGCAGCTTTGGAGTTCTTCAATTAAACAATTAATTACAGCCAATTAAGTAGGTAAAGTACAAAGATAAGAGATTCATCTATTTATTTATATAGGAAACCATAAAAAAAAATAAAAAAAAAACTTGCATAATTAGATGTAAGGAGGAACATTATTTTACTTTCGGAGTTTCGATTTTTATTTACGTTAAGTTCCTTCATATATATGTTAATAATTAGTTTTTAACAAATTTAACGTTACAAATCAGTTGAGTCTATATGTGCACGAGACATTTAACTAAAAATATGTTATCGCTATTTTAAAGAATAATATACAAAAAAAGAGACACGTGGCAGCAGAAGACCCACCCGGTGTTTTTCACCGGGTGTAGCATCGAACAAATCCTAGTCAAGCATATGCAAAAATGAAAGCCAATCGTATTTATCCAAATACGATATATATAAATATAAAAGAAATATAATAAATAAATAAATAAAAGGTTATTTTGATGTAATCATGCATGCGAATCTTATGAAATAATATCGAAGTGGCATTGAAACGGTTGACAGTTAAAACCTCCACTTAATAGTGTTCCTTCGACCCTACACCCGGTGAAAAATATCGGGTGGGTCTTCTGCTGCCACGTGTTTTTTTTTTTTTTCTTCTAAAACCCCTAAAGGTAAACCCTAGAGGAGAATCTATTATAAAAGACAAAAAAGAGACACGTGGCAGCAGAAGATCCACCCGGTGTTTTTCACCGGGTGTAGGGTCGAACAAATCACTTAATAGGATTTGTTTAATTAAATGTGGTTATTTTAATTTAATTAAATTAAATTAAACGCCTCAAATTGGGCCTTAATTGGTATTTTCAGGTTGTATTGGTTACACCTAGTTGTGGGCCCAAATTATTATTTTCAGGTTGTATTGGTTACACCTTGTTAGCTTAATTATATAAAGGGTTTATTAGGGAAAACCCCCTTATTCATATTTTCTAATGAGGTAGATCCAATTTTTTTTCCCCTTTTTGAGATACACCCAATTTTGCCAACTTGGCAAAATATATTATATAATTTCCCTTTAATACCCCTGTTTTATTATTAAACGACATTTATTTCCTTTAATACGTGATTTGAGATTTGCTGATACGTTGCCTAAAATCACGGAATAAATTTACGTGAAATCATTGGCCGTTATATCAAATCGTGTACAATATTTTTTGAAGATTCTCTTCATCGTTCCAGCGGGTTTTATCGTCTTTGAAGATTTCTGCACCGTCGTGGAAATATGATCGATTTTTGAGCGTTTGTTAATTGTTGGACGTTGTTAAGCGGGTATGAATGCGTTATTCGTTTTTATTTTTTGCTCAATGTCCATGATTGTCGTGTACGGTGGTTAGAAATTTTTAAGAATTGTGTTGATACTTGATTATATTAAGTAGAACGTTTTTTAACAAAATTATTCCGTCATATATATATCGTTTTTTTTTTGCCGATGATGTTTGTTTGGAAGAGGATTGACATAGTTAGAAGAGGATGGTTCACGCAGATCGGACCAGAGTTGTTTTATATGAGCTTCGTAGTTGGTTTATGCAATAATCGGAATAATTGTCCGCTGTGGTCGAGTTCATGTTTTTATCCCGATCGATAGTTGGTTTATTTGTTTATAACAGCCGATTTAAGTGTGCTGGGTAGTACATTAAAATATAGTTCATAGTCTTTTTTAATTTAGCGTATGAATTTTGCATTTTAAGTTTATTTTTGATGATATTAATGTATTATCATTCAAATGTATTAGCAGTCTATTTAATCATTTTTTAGTATTCTGCATTTTTAATTTTGTTTCATGATTTTAGGTTTTTTCGATGGCGAATTTCGTACGGATTTTGTTGAGGTTTGGTGGGTTGGTTGCTATAAAGAGGTGTTTACGATGTAATGGCTCGGTAACTTCGGTTAAGTGTTAAACCGTTGTAATACAGTAGTATACTATTATGAATACCGTATGATACTACCATTTTCATTTTATTATACTATTATGAGATTATTAATGTACTAGAGTTTTTTAACTCGACATATTGGTTTGATTGTGTTATGATGTGTTTTATGTATTTAATCAAAACCCTAGATTGAAAATATGAGATTATTAATGTACTATTTTATTGGTTATGTGGAATACTTTACGTTGGTGTTGTTTTCAATGTTCTTGTCATTTCAGTGGTATATTGTTTGTAACACAATTTCATATCACTACTATAACCGTAATATACTATCATAGCAGATTAATGTACTATATTGAAATTATTAATATACTATATGTGGTTGAATAATACGGGATCCATAGTCAATTAACGAGATCCATAGTCGAATTAGATCAATAAGATAGTCTATTAGACCATCTCCAATGGAGATGGGTAGGGGTTGGGGTAGGAGGATAAAATTACCTCCAATGGAGGTGGGTCAAGGGGGTGTGGGTCTGGGGTGGGTAGGGGTGGGGAGAGGGGGGAGGGAGAGAACCCTTGAGCTGCCCCCTTCCAACTCACGTGCTGGAAGGGGGCGTGTGTTCCACGCTCTTTTCTTCTTTTTTTTTTTTTTTTTTTTTTTCTTTTCCTTTTTTATTTGTATATGTTATTTCTTTTTTGTTTTCTTTTCCTTTTTCTTTTCTCTTTTTTGTTTGTTAATTTTATATTTTTTTTTATTTTCCTTTTCTTTTGTATTTATTTTTTAAATTATATCGTTATTTTATTTTATTTCAATTATTTAGTTACATAATTTAATATCACATAATTTCAATAAAATCAAACACTAAATTTGCAAATAAAGACTTTTAATATATTTGTTTTCATTTCTTTTTCTTTTATTTTATTATTTCCATTTTGATTATATCTTTTGAATTATTAATTCTATATTTTTTAATTAGTAATAATTATTATTAATTATTAGTTTTTAATAATAATAATAATAATAATAATAATAATAATAATAATAATAATAATAATATTATTATTATTATTATTATTATTATTATTATTATTATTATTATTATTATTATTATTATTATTATTATTAGATGAGAGTGGGGGTTTCAAAAAAAACAATAAAAGATCGATCGGTTGGAAACGACGTAGGTAGAGGTCGGGGGAGGGGGAGAGGGAGGGGAGGGGGAAACCCCCCCTCTCCATTGGAGATGCTCTTACATGATATAAGGAAAATTACCCTAATTGATTAGTATTTCAAACAAACATATTATTCAGTTTCCATATATATTATTATTTTTTCATATAATAAGGAAAATTACCCTAATTGATTAGTATTTCAAACAAACATATTATTCAGTTTCCATATATATTATTATTTTTCCAATAGTCAATTAACTAAACTCGAATTAGATACATGGGATAGTCTATTAAAAGATATGAGATAGTCTATTAATTTTAAAAACAAATCCGCCGCCGTCACTTCTCAAATCTAGGGTTTTGATGATTTTTCGGCCCATAGTCGATTAACGAGATCCATAGTAAAATTATACCAGTGGGATAGTCTATTAAATGATATGGGATAGTATATTAATACAGATGTAATTCGACTATGCATCTCGTTAATCAACTATGGGCCGAAGGATTTGATATTATTTCAAAAGGTAAAGTAACGGGATTTGTGGGATTTGATTGAGGGTAATTATGTAATTACGAAAAGCTTGGGCTTTTATCAAAATGACAAATTTAAATTTGGATCTACCCCTATTATTTCAATGTTTAAGGGGGTTATATCTAATAGACCCTTATATAAATATATCATCTATATACATTTAAATTATTTTCATGCAAACATATTACAACAATTTTAACCATGTGATATATATCGGATTTTTCTAGTACTATTACTGTATTTGACAATAATATTAATGTATTTGCTAGTAATATTAACAACAATATAACTGTGTTACAAAATCAACAGAGAAAAAAAGAGATTTAAGAGCGCAGAAAAAATAATATTATTGTAGTTGACATATAAAGTTCAACGTCGTTCATAAATATTAGATTTGCTTTTGTTTATAATACGTGTTGAAATAATGAACTTATTAGCTAAAGAGATTAAACATCAGAATTGAGATTAATAAAAGTTGGCGGTCAAAGACTTTTTCGTAAAAATGCCTAAATTAAAATATGCGAACGATATAAGTTGAGGCTATGTGGTTAATCAATGACTTAAATAGCTCTTATCTTTATTAATTTATTTTTCTCTCCTAATTTAATGAAAGTTGAGCATTTTTTGGTGCAACTATTCATCAAAGACAATTTTTGGTCATAAATGTTTTGGATATCAAATAAAATCATGACCGACTTATATATGTGCTATATACGCGCGTCTATAATCTATTTCTCATTACATCCATCCATTCAAGTTTCTCACACCCAAAAAATAAGTTATTAATATTTCTTCAA